AGGGAAAGATAGCAGACAAAGTTCTACAGAGGTGAAAAAAAGAGGCTATTGATTAGTCTGCCTCTCTCTGCTCGGACATTAAAATCAAGAGCAGAGATTAACTGGAGGGGCATATCTTTTCTCAAAGTGTCTGTCCCAGAGGAGGCATAGAGGAGGTTTGCTTGCAGAATTGGCCTTCAGGAAATCCAGACAAACTCAAGTGGGGTACAGACAGCCTGAACAATGCAAAAAAAAATTCCTGTCATTACTTCATTTGAATTGTATTCTCAGCATATTCTTAGAACAAAATTCCTATATTGCTCTTGTGCTCTAGTCAAGAAAGATGCAACACTGCTTTGCCTCATCACATGAGCCATTCTTCCCAATGACAGACTGCTGAGTTATACAAGTGGATTACGTAATCCTATGGGGATGGTCATGTTTTCTGGATTCTGACCTGTAAACTTCAGAAAAAAACAGAAAAGTGAAATAGCAATCAAAGGAAAACCTCTTCAGGTCACAGAGAGCATAATTTGATAACATGTTATGGTAGACTGTATAACCAAAAAAATCCTCTGTCTACTCTGCAATATTGGGCAGCATGTCAGGCAGAGAATCTTAGACAAAAGAAGAGCTCCCTTTATAATGAGGCATTAAAGGTGGAAAAAATCTGATTTCTGAGAAGATATGTCAAATGCAGATGCTTTTTTCAGCATCTATGGAAAAGTGAAAGGAATATATAATTAGCTTTCCAGGTGGGGACCTGCAACCCAGGGACAGAACCTAAATACAGTCAAATTGTGACACCCTCCCCAGCCTATCTTTTAAAAATGAAAGCAGATTTTTTTTTTCATAACTTGATCATGTATGAATTAATTTGAAAGTTGAGTAACCCAAAACTACCTTAAAAAGCAAACAACAGATTATTTAGATTCACTTTCAAGTCCAGAAAAGACTCTACAAGATCTCTAGAGAATTAAATGAGTCATGGCAGGTTTCTTCATGTGTCTTTTATTTATAGTAGCATCTAAGCCAGAACAGGTTGGAGAATTTTTGGTCTGGATAACCTCGCAGGGGACTTGTGTTGAAGAAATGAAGAAAAAGGAAATAAGGAAAGCAAGCTGCCTGCCAATAGCTTTCTTTTCCTCTCATAGGTACTTTTTTGTCTGTTAGAAACTTTGGAGTTCTACACAGAAAGATCCCCACTCCCAGCAGTTCTAAAGGCAGAGCAGGAAAAGGAATAGAAGAAACCAGGTGTATCAGTAACTTTGTGAACTCCTTGGGCAATTCCAGAGGAGCTGTTGGCTTTGCAGTTAGTATATTATTCACCTAAAATAGACTCTATCCAGCAAGGTGTGAAAGGGGAGTGGAAGCAGGCCAGCACCTCTCAGACCTCTCACTCTGCACCTTGCGGAAGAAACCCTTCGGAAGTGAGATCATGTGATGTAGATTTCTGTATAGCCTTCATGGACATTGGGATATTAAGCTGCGAACAACATATATTTACATTAAAATCCACTCAGCTACACAATGAAGTTATTGAGCTGCTCTCCACCTTGAGCCATGTGTGTAGGCTTGGCAACCAATTATGTCTCAAAGCACTGGCTTGATTTTTTTGCCATATATGTCTCAAAGGAATTTTCACTTTACCTCTGCTCAGCTCCAACACAATTACCACAAGATCTTATCTACAAAAATGCAGAGGAGCTCTCACCTGTTCATTAGGGTTTTCCATCAGCTATAAAGTCGGAACAAAGGAACAAAGGCAGAGAAGGCAACACCAATTGCATCAAGCCATGGGTGAACATTTTCAAATTGTTGTGCAATTACTGAATTAAACTAAGGTATTCTTTGCTTAATTATAAAAGTAGACCTTCTTCCTAAAAGCACTTCTAGATACCTCTGTGTTTACACATTCTTCAAGCTGTTCAGTAATAAATAATGGAGCCAAATTATTGTGAGGCAAAAATGGAAGAAAGCAACACTGAACTTCCCATGAAAATATGAATAATACTATGGCATTACATTGAGTGAGAAGTGTTAGTAACAGATAGTAAGTTTAAGCTTTAATCAGGGTAACATGAGTTTCATTTAGTGGGGAAAAAAAAAAGACTACTATTTATTGTTGCTTCAACCACTGAGAGAAGAGATCAGGACTCAAGAATTCTTATCCTGACTTTTGTTCTTTATATAGGAACCATCTCATCTGAATTCTCTAGGCTATGCATGGTATAATGATCCAGAGAAATATCAATGAGACTGGGACTTAAACAGTTAATTGGAATTTAAACTGGACTATAGTCATGTAACACAAAGGGAAGAAAACAAGCCAGCCTAAATAAATTGGGCTGGGTGGGGTGTGGTGTTTGAGAATTTTATGGGGGAAAAGATGGAGTGGGAACATGACACAGATCTACATTCAGTATTACAAGAATGAAAACAGACTATTGTCATTCAAAAAAATTACAACAGGATAATAGTTCCATTTTACACTTAGTTGGGGTAAGATTTTTTGTGCAGATTTTGTCAATGTTCTACTCTATTATAGTAGTTTAATTTCATCATTGTGTAATAACAATGAAGTCATGAAATACGGCTCTTTCAACAAATGTAGCAACAGCAGGAATAAAACGTAATGTAGCTAGTTTTTAGTATATACAATTTCTATGATAATTATTTCACAAATTATTTTATTAGATGATGCACTTCAGGTTTGTGTAAGTTTAATTTAAAATTAAGAGCAGTTGAAGTCATCTGACTACACAGACTTTATTAATAGACTCAAACTTTATTATTAATGTGGACGGGTTCTTTTGCAAACAGTGAACGCTTCTAAATGGTCTAGAAACCATTAATTTTAAATAGGTCAATTTAAAGCTGTTTAACATTAAAGAGGATAATTTTAAAAAATAATATTGCAACAGTTTTTGTCTGGAGGTGCTTTTCTCAGGCTTTCCCTCTTCTCCAGATGTTTTCCTTTTTGAAATTTGAATCTAGTGGTGCTGTTCTGAAAACAGTACTGAAGCCAGCAGACGGGGTCCCCTGTACTGGGGAGTCTTCACATGGGAAGTAATAAGGTTTATTCATTGTTGTTCTTTCCAAGAAGGTAGGGATTAACTAAAAGAGAAAATTTACTCAGCAATAAACCCAAGACAAAACTAAAATCAGTACTGAAGACCATTTTCAGGGAGTAAGACAGAGATGCCAATAAAGATGCCACAGGCCTCTCCCTGCAAAAAACTCAAAACAAATAACTAAATTGTAACCAGTCAGCATCCAATGTCCAAGTTAATGTAATTTAATCTGATTATGAGTCCAAACTGTCCCCAGCTCCAGACATGCAATCCTCATGTCATTTCTATGTAAGGCTGTTAACTGATATCCAATTTTCCAATAAATTGCTTAAGAGAATGATAATCAGTTAAAACACACCTGTACAGCATATGGCCAGCCAAGCAATTTCTTTGACTTACTGCATTATTTTAATTAGGCTTTTTTGTAACTTGTTTGTCAGTTCCAGTTACAAAACAAGATTAATGAACCTGCTGCTGTACTCCCTTCCACCATACAGACACAGGTGCCACACTCGGCTGCACTGCCCAGCATCCCTCCTGTTACTGTACTGGATCAAACTCCTTTCATCTGAACTGCTCCTGTAAATCTGTCTTTTGGCTCCTTCATCCATTCCCATTGCTTCAGGCTGCAGCTGAATATTCTTCCTCTAGCAGCAGCAGTAAAAATTATCACATGTTCAGACCCGAGAGAGACAAGTATGTGCTCTTTCACCCCATCCTGGTGCCTCGTAATAGGCCCTGGGCTCATCAGGTTATTTACAGCCAGCTCTGTGACCTCCTGGCAAGGAATTTGGTGCAGTTGACACACTGGAGGGATTGGATGCCATTCTTTTTTGGGCCGGTGCAAACTGCATGAAGTTCAAGGCCAAGTGCAAGGTTCTGCACATGGGTCTGGACAATCCCAAGCACAAACACAGGCTGGGCAGAGAATGGATTGACAGCAGCCCTGAGGAGAAGGACTTGGGCGTGTTCGCTGATGAGAAGCTCAACATGACCCAGCAATGTGCGCTTGCGGCCCAGAAAGCCAATCATATCCTGGGCTGCATCAAAAGAAGCGTGATCAGCAGGTGATTCTCCCCCTTTACTTAGCTCTCATGAGACCCCACCTGGAGTACTGCCTTCAGCCCTGGGACCCCCAACATAAGAAGGACATGGACCTGTTGGAGCGAGTCCAGAGGAGGGCCACAAAGACTATCAGAAGGGCTGGAACTCATCTCCTATGAGGACAGGCTGAGAGAGTTGGGGTTGTTCAGCCTGGAGAAGAGAAGGCTCCGGGGAGATCCTATTGCATCCTTCCAGTACTTAAAAGGGGCTTACAAGATAGACAGGGACAGACCTTTTAGCAGGACCTGTTGTAATAGGACAAGGGGTGATGGTTTTAAACTGAAAGAGGGTAGATTTATGAAGAACTTTTTCACTATGAGGGTGGTGAAGCACTGGAACAGGTTGCCCACAGAAGTTGTGGGTGTCCTATCCCTGGAAGTGTTCAAGGCCAGGTTGGATGGGGCTTTGAGCAACCTGGTCTAGTAGAAGGTATCCCTGCCCACAGCAGGGGGGTTGGAACTAGATGATCTTTAAGGTCCCTTCCCACCCAAACCATTCTATGATTCTATGATAATTTATGGTGGTGAGACCTCTTTTTCAGAGAGGCAGGCTGGCAGCCAGGAGTCAAATGTGATTTTTGTTCCAATCATCTAATCAGAGGGTTCTGGGGAATGACAACTTAAGACCTTCTCTTAATTAGAAAGCAATCAGAAAGGGCTTTAAATTTGACAGCAGCTGTGAGCCAACTAAGAGCTAGCATGCATTGTGACAAAACCCCAGAGAATAACTAGATTACACATTGCCAAGAGAAGGAGCATAAGAAACCCAGTCTTAGTAGTATCTGTCCCAGTGTCAGGAGCTGCCACTGTGCCCACCAAGCTACATCAGGCTGCCTCTTTGCCCATGTTTTCTTAAGCAGGAGGAGTACCAGCCACACACTTCATCATCACACATTTAGTTAACACAGATGTTTGTGAAGTGAAAGAAGGAAATTGTAAAAGAGATACACATTGTCATCCCGATGCGTCTGGGAAACACGGACAAGGGAAACAAGAACATGGTTAAGCTTTAAACACCATTTCAGGAACCTCTAAGGAAAATCCCCTTCTTTTGTTCACATGGAAAGCTCCAGAGAATATTCACCTTGTTGTACATGATGTCACTAAAAGCCCCTGAAACTTTGCTCTTTCTAACTGCAGACTCCTATACCCCTTCTGACTTCATGACGGGTAATGTTGTGGCTCTTACAGCAACAAGTCCAGGCTCTCTTACCTGCCAGTGACCAGTCATGTAATACACTGACCAAGTCAGATGAGAAACATGGAGATGGCCATGCCAGAGAAAGGATTACAGCCTGCCAAAAGTGTAGTGACTTTGTCCTTGACCTCAACAGAAAGGATGCTGACTGTGGAGCTGGCCCTACTGTGACTACAGCAAGTAAACACAGGGACTGTCTTCAGGTTGGGTGTCAAGCTTGGGATTGACAGTACTCTCAAAATGCAATGTACAGGCAACCTTTGTCCATGTGAGTACCCTGCGCCAAATTTTGGACAGCTATTCTGATCATTTGGAGCAACTTCCTTTTCTGAGAGTTAAAACGAGGTGTCTGGCGCAGCCAAGTTTGCTGAGGCCATATGACTAGTCAGACCTCATGACAGCCAAAATGAAGACACCTGCCCTCTCCAAGTTGTAGAGAGCTGTCACATCATTGTAACTTGATAACATCTTTAAATTTTGATTAGATAAGTTCATTGCATTTCGGTATGACAGCTGAGAAACACATGGTACACCATCAGGCACAAGTAACTTCCCATTAATTTGCACAATTAATGACATTCTTTTCCTCTGAGCTCTTGTAACAACCAGCTACCAGAACAAAATGGAGACACATATATTAATTCAATCACTTGTACTTACTGTTACTGCTAGTGTTACTGCCAATGCTGTCATTCCTAAGGGAGCTGGCAGCAACAGGAGGAAACAAAAATGTTTTTGTGACAGCGACTCTGGAATCTAAATAGAAAATGAGTGTGTCAGCATTATGTAACTTAAAATACAGTTCCCTCTATATAAGATGATGGGCTATAGTGCTACTCTGATGTGGCTGTAGGGCTGTTTTAAAAATCTGGGTACAGGGCTGTTTATAAAGTGGATTAAGCCAAAAAAGGCAGTCTTATTAAAAGGCAGATGTATCTACACACTGAGCTGCTGCTGAACAGCTATTCTGGAAAAGCAATTGCTTTAAACAAGTTCCTAGGTTATGGCACTGATCTACTTCTAGTTACCACTGGTGAAACTGCAACCGGATACATTGCCCTAATTAAAAAGCTAATAGCTGTCACTAGAGAGAGAAAAAGAAAAGAGAATACAAAACCTCCATTTACTGGAAGGATGAGAATGAACTGCAGGAGCCTGACTTGAGCTTGTTAAAAGTTTTAAATGAAGTAAACATATCCCTTTTCAGAAGGGTTGGGATGAATATGGAGGTGACTGGAGGCTGCTGTAATTTACAACTTGTCCTAGCTTCCTATCCTTTCAGTAGTGCAATCTTAGGCGCCTTTACTGCCTTATAAAAATTAAATAGAGCATTAATAGAAAATAAGAAGAACAATGTAAAAAGATGATCCAGGATACATTTGGGATGAAAAGAAACAGAGCAGAGTAGTATGAGTTTATTTGGGCTATATTAAGGAATGATGTCACTAGGAACGATGGCACTAGTTTTACTGCCAGATAGCACTTGACTAACACAAGCTTTGGTGTTGGTAGTAATTTTAACTGACAATAAAAAGGAGACATGGAGGTACAGCATCAGATCCTTAGCATCTCTGAAATCAAAGGAAAATCATCCATTTATATCTACATAGATTCTGTTCCCAAAATAAGAGCCATCTTACCATCCTCTGGTGTTTCTACTGTTGAAGGCAGAATGCAATCATTCTTATCCAGCATGTCTGCAAACTCCTTGTAGACCTCAATGGTACTATTAAAGTGCCTAAAAAAATCCTCAGGAATGAAGCGACCTTCTTCATAAAGATGACCATTTTCTTTTACAAAATCCTAGGGTAAAATATAGAATCCAGCTTGAAAGAAGATCAAGAGAGATGCTCATTTCAGCACCTCAACAGATGATAAAAATATCCAAAGGTGACACAAAACAGTTTACATTTTTAAGCTGCAGAAGACCAAATTTTCTGTGTACAATCTTCACAAAACATACAAGTGAAGAAAATCCTTTGATTTTAGGATTTCAAATTAGATAGATTTGCAAATAGAAATAAATTATTAATCCAGTGTTGTTAAAGTTGCTAAGGAATGAAAGGCATTCTCCCATCCTATGCTGAAAATTCAGAGTTGTTGTTTTTATTTCCCTCGTTAAAAAAATTGCCTTGATTGAACATTACTTTGCAATGTTCCACATGATCCTTTTAATCTGAACACAGGAACAGAACACAATCATAGCTATTGTCGTAAGAGTACAGGGAACAGAATACAATAGCTGGGATACACTACTGCACAGCAGCAGACTGAGATCCCTGATAATGTACCTAAAAATAAGAGCAAGACTATAAACAAGGAAGCCCAATCACTCTGAGGTCTAACAGACAAGCGTGTTACGCCAGACTAAACAACAAGGTTGTTGAGGTCCATGTTAAGATCATTTATGGTTATTTTCTTTTTACCTAACTCTGGCTTTCATAACAACTGTTTATGATGCCAGGTCGAATTTGGCCTGAGGTTACTCTATTCTCCCAAGAAGGAGGACAGTGGTAAGAACATGGGTTAAATATGTACTAAGGAAAACTTCTTAGTTTTGGCTCCAAAATTATTTTATGTTTAATGCTGAAGGTACTAGCCCTAAGGTTATTCTTCTCTGAGGAAATCAATAGCTGTTTGTCTGAATTGCAGGGTATTTATTTCTTCATTCTACAGAATAAAATTCCTCTTCCCAACCACATCCCAGCTGAGTGCTTTGAATCATCAGGACAAGCATAATAAGAACAAAGAAAAAAAGATACATTGAAGATCGCACAGAACTCAATTTGAAATGGAAAGGTAGGGAATGTCTAAATACTCTTAGCAATATAATGCCAATATATGACAAGGTTATGTCACTCTAAATGAGATTGAGTGTCTTAGTCCATTTGATTCATTATGGATGTTAAAAAGGTGCAATTACAACAGCTAAGGATTTACTTGACAAAAACAAACTTATATGGAAGATGAAATCCTTGCCCTAAATAACATGATGGATTTTACCCATTTTGTTCAGTGGGACAAAACCTTCAACTACAGAAGTTATTTTTAATTACCGATAGACTGGTTAGAGCTGGGTAAGGGATTAGAAAGTGGTGTTTTTTCCCCATCATTTTCACACAAGAATCAGATGTCTCTTGAGTGAGACTCCTGGCTCCTGTCTCTTGAGTGAGACTACCAGCTGCTGTTGGAATCCAGAAACGCATGGAAATGGGCCGATATCCTCTAGTCTTTGCTGTGTCTTTTTATAAAAAAGTTCGTTAAACCATGGTGAAGTTTTCAGAGCTTCACACACTGTGATACATACTAAGAGTATATTAATAGCTTCAACCATATCATCTTTGAATTTACATTAGGATTACTTGCAAAATTAATAGCTCAAGCTGGATGCACCAGGAAGATTTCTGCCCATTTCAAACAGACCAGAATGAATTAATTATCTTAAAGATGATGGTTACATATTTGACTACTTAAATAACTGTATACAGGTCATTTTATATACTGTAATTCCTTGTAAGCCATTTTCCTTTGGAACGGGAGATAACAACTAGCCAACATTAGCACAGTGCACTCGATGCATTTCTAAACAAAGTAGGATTTCAGATATACGGGAATAGAAATGAGAACAAATCTAACGAAGCTTTGGACATTTTTAAAGTATTACTGAATACTGTACAACAGAAAATTCAAATAAAAATATCCAGCATAAAAGTAGAAACCCTGTATAAGATTACCTTATTTTTATCAAAAGCTAGGCATGCCATAAGATCATTAATTATCCTTGTGAGATTATTGATGATTGAATAGTTGCTTAAAACATCAGACATATCTGATATATCTGAAAATTTCTGGAGAAGATTATGTAGACTCCTTGAAAATTCAGGCACCATCAAATGCAACCAACAGTGATTAGGCTGTCAAGGGATAAAAAGAGAAGCAGAGAGGTAGATTAAATATCAGACTTTTGTGAAAACTGGTTAAGCAGCTCAATGTGCAAAAGTAGATTAGACTGTTCTTTCCAATTTAAACTATCTATCTTGAAAGTCTAAATTAAAATTCATCTTCTTTAGTGTGGCCAACTTTCTCTTCAGTCGTTTTGGTAAAATTTCTATTCTCACTGATACTGACATATTTATGGTTGTCTGTTAAATGCCATCCTTTCATTAAATTCTTAATGAATGCTAAGCATCAGTCTGTTGAGAATTTGAGCCTTGGGACATACTACTATGAACCCTCTTCCATGCTTTCATTAACGTATTTATTTTTTTTAAATAACTACTGCTTTAACAATTTTCTCCAGACTTTCTTTAAACCAATCTCAGTTTTCATTTCATTATTGTTATCCTACATGACTCAGTTAACCCCAAAGATCCCTCATTTAAATCTCTTCTGAGGAAGGTTTCCATAATCATTTTGCATTAAATCCATGTGTGCTTTTATCCACCTTTAAACTAGTTAGCTTAGTTAACTCCTTCTCTTCAGCCTTTTGATTAAATGTCATTCCTGAGAACAGTTTCTAGATCTAAAAGTCTTTTCCTGAGTTTTTGCTGACAAAAGGGCTCTGCATAGCCTGTCATGGTATCTGCACATCTGTGCTACTGGAATACAGTTCAAATCCTGACACTGACACCTATGCAATTAGTTTGCAGATAAAGTATTTACAGCTGTTCAGATTGAAAACTGGTCATTCATTTTGCTGCCTTAGAGAGATTCATTAACTTCTTCTACTTAGATTTACATAACAGTAGTCAAGTAAATAAAAAAGCCACCCAACCCAGGAAAAATCCTAACTTAATACATTCAGCAAAAATACAGGTAATGTATTAATCACACTGCAACATGTACCTGGAAATCCCTGCCCAATAAATGCTGAATTTTTAATAGTAAGCATTATGGGTTTTTATGCTATATGTGAAGCTATTTTTTCAATAGTTGAAAATCACTCGGGGTCATTAAAACCTGCCAGATATGAAGATCTTGACCCAGCAACCCGTAAGCACTCTCAGTGTCACTAAAGCAGTTTCCAGTTGCTGCTCAGTGGATGGGCAGCATCCTCTGAATCCATCCACTCCACCTTCTGCAACGTACAGTAAAAGTTTGGTGACATATCCACTTCTAGTCTTGATCTCGTTTTATTCAATTTCTGCAATAAACCTGCATACAGATTCTTCATTTAAAAAAAAAAAAATCCACTACTATCAACATCATCACGTGGTGACAGACTACTTTCTCAGTGACACAGGTGTTGTTCTGCTTGATGTGTCAATGTTTTTGATGAGGAAAAAGACACTTCATGCTTTTGAAGACTAACCAGACTAGTAGGCTTCCAGGCTTAGAGAACCAAGTATAAATACATTGTTCAGCTCCACCCGATTTTTCACTTTTGTGTACAACTCTTTCATACAGTGATAGCATGTGGCAAGTCAGTATTATCACCTTCTGTAATTACCTCAACAATGACTTAAAAAAAGAATGAAACAAGATGTGAGATGGATAGCGTTTGGTTTGATCCTGCTTCCCTTTTTCCTTTGAGCACAGCAACAGGAGGGGAGAGGCAGAAGCAAATAAAGCAGAGGAAGCTTGTTGAAACATACTCTGTTCAAGCAGCATGCGCCGTGCCATGTCCCATTACTCTCACGAGACAGACACTGCATTTTCCTCTGCGTTGGTGTAACGAACCTGGACACAGCACTTCTGCGCTTCCCCGAACTGCAAACCTGGAAACACTTTTCCTCTGAGGTTTGTGGGTACCCCCCCTCTGGCAGGGACTAGCAAAAGCTTGCTGCTTCTCCTAGTGAGCATTTGGTGATTCCAGCAGGGAATCTATTTTGTTGCTCCCGCGGTTCCGCATGTGCGTGGGAGTCTCCTCTGACTGAACCGTTCTGACCTACAAAGCTGTATTTCATGAGAGTTTTAAGTTTTCTTTTTAGTAATATCAAGCTGTGCAATCACTTGCTATCTCAATACCTACCAAACACAGGGATGAAACTGTTGAAACTGAAAAATGTGACAATGTTTGCAAGGAGAAATGGAGGTTTAACCCTGCTTTTTTGTGTAAACTGTGATGAAGATTTACATTTTAGGGCAATTGCAAACCTGAATTCCCTTGTACGTCCAGGTAGTCCTCATTTAGCTTTGTCTTTCTAAACCTATTTAAAAGTTTGAAATTTATCTTTTCTTCCGAGTTCAGCCCTTGCTGCTGTCATCTTTGCCTTTTAACCTTCAGGTTCGACTACACAGTTCACTCCGTGTGAGAATACTTTTAAAGCCACTCAGATGCCTTGAGCTAGTGCATAATGCAACAACCCTTCTGGTTAATGGATCGGGTCAGTCTGTTCCTGTTACATGCACTACACTGGCTTCCCATCTGCTTTGCATTCACCCTGCCTTCCTACCTTTAGTCATCTACATTGGAGACTTGCTACCTTGAGTACATTTCCCACTTCATGCATGCACTGAAGACTGAAATCTGTTGAAAAAAATGGCAGAGCACCATTTCAATCCTTTCAGAGCTGAACAAAGCGCATTTGCCTTATGCAAAGCTGTGGGTTTCCTGGCTTGCAGGGACTTTGCAGAACCCAGAGCAAAACCTACTTATTCAGTCAGCCTTTGCTGTGGTATGCGTAACACAACCCGAAATCCCCGAGAGGAATTTGGCAAAATGGAATGTGAATACCACTGAATGCTTCCTCCTGCGAAGGCATGTGGCCAAGAGCTGCACCTTCCATCGCCACGATGGAAAGTGGTGGGGGAGCAAAGGGAATATGGAAATCCTGGCTCCGAACTTCTCTTCTTCCCGTTTATTTCTCGGCCACTCATCGTACATGTAAACAGGATCTAAGTTTCTGGGTATGATGCAGCAAGATGGCATGGCATTTAAACTATAGAAAAGAAACTGCATACTGGCAGCCAAAACTGAACCACGGAGCGAGATAAGAGTTAGGCAGGGAGAATGACCAGGACTCATCGCTCAAGCAGGCTCCCTGGCCTTCCCCATCCGCAGTGCCAACCTCCCGAGGAGCACAGGGGAGGGAGCAGTCCCGATCCAGCCCGGCTCTCGCCCACCAGCTGCTGCGCTCGCCCTGGAGCCTGGGGAGCAGCGCCTGGGCTGTGGCTGTCCTCCACAAATGTGAATCTTGTCACATCAGGCACCAAAATCATTGCATTTCAAAAAGCACCACAGCCAGGGGATAGTGGCAGCAGTCTTGCTTCCTTTGTCTCTGGATATTGGTTATTTGCATAAATGGAAATTTTTTCATTAGTTTTAATTATATTATATAGGATCTAGTACCTGACTTCCATAGCATTTTTCTGCAGAGTTTTTCTGTCTAAGGGATCAAGTTTAAACTGGATTTTCTGAAGTACTCTTTCAGTAAAAGCCTGGAGCTTCCAACAGAACTCATAAGAACATTGTCAGATCTGCCATAATAGCTCGTAACCTCACAGCTCAGGGCCCTTCACTATCCCACAGCCTCCTTTTCCTCCAGCTATCGTCTTAATTCGTGTTACTCAAGACTGAGAAAATGTTTCTGGCATTGTTCTCCAATATCAATAGGGAATATTGCTGGAGTTGCTACAGTGTTGTAGGATAGGATGCATTTTATGCACACAAATTGGATTTTCATATTGAAAACTTTGTACAGAACAAACACAGCTTCTTACATCTGCCATGTGATTTCCAACTACTGATGTATGTGTACAATGATTCACTCTTAAGACAGGCACAAATTATTCAGTTTAATTGACAAACTAGTCTTTCTTTTTTCTTTCCTTAAAAAGTATATTTACATATATTTTGTACAGTATAGCATTCAGCATAATATCTACTTTCACCTTTTTTCCTTCTTTTTCTTGCAGTGCATGCAATAACCAAAAGAGTATTTAAATACATTATTCTTAATTTTTTTTAAATTAAGGAAAAATATAAAAAATATTTAGTAGAATAAGCAATAGGATAACATGATGTTTTTAATGCAAAAAGCTATAAAATTTTAAAGCAGCCAGATGATGTTTATTTGAAAGTATCTCTGTGTATTAACTACAGGATTATACAGAAAGAATAATACAAAGCATGTCTGAATGAAATAAAGCCCTCACTTTCTACAAGTTTGTTTAGTTACTGACACTACCATTTGCTGAACTTAGGGTTCTCTTCATCGGCTACTCTGTATTTGTATGCTTTAGCGGCATTTCCACCGGCTTAAAGACGACAGACATTCTACAGCAAATTCCAGAGTACAATTAGAAAGAAACTACTTCTTTAAGAAAGCAATAATTTTCAATTGCCATGATGAAATAATACCGTAGTTTGACTTTTACCAGAGAAAATATTAATAAAATTAATATGAAGAAACATTTTTCTGAGATTGCTGTAATTAAAAAGGTTTTAAGTGACTGCAGGAATCTCTCTATATTTCTTTTAAATAAATACTTCTTAAGTGTGTGAATAGTGAAATAGCCATTAATTAACTGTAACTTACTGAGCCATAGGACTAGGTCTAAAATGTTACAACCATCACTGGTTCCATTAGGCTATTTTATTGGGACTAACTTGAAGTGCTTATACATACCAGACTATCCATCTTCGGGACATATTTAAGGGTTATCATATAATCATTTGGGAGATTTCCGACCTACAATAAAAAAATAATAAAAATATTATTACTGACTACCCAAGGTAAGACTTAATTTGCATCACTGCAATTTTGCATCAACAAAATCTATCAAATTTTCAATACAAATTTTCAGTAACCTACCAGCTGCAAAAGCTTACATACTCAGCTTCCTGCGGAACTGCTACTGACTCTTATTTGCTCACAAGTGAAGCATCTTTGCACACCTCTGTCACATTCCCAGATCTAATCTGATCAGGTTCAGTGTGACCACTTCCCAGCACAAATAAAGTCAGTAATGTGGTGAGAAGCGACCCAACGATTTGTTACTGCAGAAACTCCACCGCATTTTTGTCTTTTAAAGGCATGTCTTGAAGTGTTTACATGACAATCTGTATGTAACCCCAACCACTCCAAACAGTGGTTGACCCCTTAGTGTCTAAGCCTTTTTCCTTCAAATAACTTACAACTTCAGCAAGCATCTGAACCTGAAGAAATACTTGCTTGCCTTGTGCTTAGTTATATACTGGGACAGAACAACACTTGAGCAAAACCTCAATGTTGAAGCTGTGCCTCCTACTAATGACAAGCAATATAATTATATCACAGCAATGTCCTGAGGCAAAGATGACCTTCTGCCATGTAGGCTGAGCGTGGCTCTGCAGATGTGGGTGAGCATGGGGTGTGCTGAAGCAAGGACAAGGAGTGGAAGAAGGGTTGTCACTGAATTTTACAATGCAATTTCCCATGCATGGGATCCAACACTGCTGTGAGACATGGTTGATCATCTGGGGAATGGGTTGACTGAGGAGATGAAGAAGGAGATACTGCCATGATCCACAAGCTCTTGAAGTACTTTTTTCAAAAGGTTTACCAATACTATGATGCTTAGTGATATAGAAAATCTATTTTCTTTTGTATCAGTGAAAGATTCCATGGGTACTTCTCATCCGGGTTTGAAATTCATTTAGTCCAAAGACAAAAAGCACACACATAATTCCCTTGGTGAACCAGAATCTACACTTTATTCAGCAAAGCATTTCTACTTCTTAGGGTTAAAGATCATTCTGTTATGGCTGCTTTTGATTCTGCTGCTATAGCAACTAGCACAGGGATTTTTTTTTTTCCTGTGCAGTTTTTAGGTAATATTTGGTTGACACAACAAAAGGTTTTATTTGTTAATTAAAAATTTTGTTTCAATTAGAATTAAAATAGTAATTTCAAGATGTTATGGTTCTAGAAAGGATCAAGGACAATACTTATGCACAGTCAGTCACTAGTGAATTCCAAACATTTTTTTATTTACAGTGTGGGTTGAACCACAATCCTTCAGTTCAATGACATCTACCTTTCTCCTACAGCTTTAAAAAACAAGTTTTATACAAATGATCCTGACAAATTTCTTTCTGTAGATCAATTTTCTTTTTTTCTGCCTACACATTCCCAAGGCAGCAGTTGCAAAAGTGCCAATGAAATCCTCTATATCAATTTCTGTTTACCTGGCATTCTGGGAAGTTGATTCAAGATACTACAAACACTGAAAAATATTGCAATACATTTGTTCTTTCTTTAGAGCATCTGATTTATTCTAAATCCTCATCCACAATTTTTTTCATATTTTTCCTTCCTCTAAAAACATCCTGACATCATGACACATTAATAGGTAATCCAGTTTCTTTTCCAGCTTGCTTTGCATGCCTAGAGAGGTAGGATTAGCAGCACTTCAAGCAGCAAAGATAATGAAGATGCTACTGTATGTGCAAAGTTTCCCATACTCACTCTAGAGGGATTCAATACTTAGCAATGTCAGCAAAAGCACCGTTCTTTAAGAAAGGTCACTGGAAGATTAAATTTGTTCCAAATCAATGAACACTACAAGAATTGATATGCATTATGTATATAATCTACTTTACTGGCATCAGAGCCTGTCAAGCACTTTTCATGCACAGTTAAAAAAAAAAAAAAAAAGTAACTGCCCAAGAGCTCTTACAGCTTCTCAAACAAAGCCAGAGCGTACAGCTCAGCCTCAGACATTTTTCTCCTTGACAGACTGTGAATCAGAAAAGATATTTTTGAATTTACTACTAAAAATGAAGATCACTGGGGGGGAGGGTGTCAAACACAAAGTATATGCCCTGCCTCAAGACGAAACAACTTGTTAAAGTTTTACTGATTAAACTCTACGTGCCAGATGCAGTGCTGATGGTAAATGATGGAGCTCAGTCAAAGCGAGAGCGCTATATTTGTGTCCCAGTTGGACCTCCCAACTCACGCATAGAAAATAGCGTAGAGCCCCTGATGTAAGAGTGAAATATATGTCTGTACTAAATCTGTGCATTTTGTACTGTCTTGCTTTCCCGAAATGAGTCTTGAAATTTGCTTGAAGACTAACCACCAAGACTACAATCCAAATCCAGCCACTTCCTTTTCAAGTGCTGAAGTGGTCCTGCAAGGCATGCAAGGACTCCGCGTACCCGCTCTGTGCGGGCTGCCCGACTGCTGCGGCTCCCAAGAAGGAGCCGCATGAGGCAGGGGACAAGAGGGCTCTGGGTTGCCTGAGCAAAGCGGGGTGGAAAGGGACTGTCCCTTGAAACTCCCTGAGTCCTGGAATGGCTTTTTTTCGTTCCTGTACTCAACTTAAGTACAGTGACAAAACTGTGGGCAACAAAACACCTGCCTGCCTGACTTCCCTTGGTTTAGACAAAAGGAACAGTTTTGATGATTATAGTGAATATGAACTGATAATCTTGGAAAGTAATGTATAGAACTAAAATAACCCTGCATTGCAATTAAAATGCCACCAAAAATTTCTCTGATTTAGTGAGTATGTGTGGTTGTAGAAGTCCTATCAAGCTCTGAGAAGAGGTGAAGATCAGGGAATCCAGACTTATGCCTTTAAATCCATAAAACCAACAGTAGTGCTGTATTCCCCATTGTAACAAAATCTCAAACTGGGGAATGTAAGATTCCTTTTGACATACAGAGGTCTGAATATTTAATATAGCATTGTTAATATTGCATAACCCAAATATACTTTAAAAATATGCTCATGGTCATATAGACAGAGAGATGAAAAAGGGATGTTGTAAAAGCGATTTGGGTTCCATAAACTACTCTTTCATCGCAACAGCAGAACAGAAATGAGATGACCTATCTCTGCAGTCAAGTGCTTTGAAATGAGGGCTACAGATCTGGGAAATTCTCTTTATTGTGACTGTTCTGAAAATTTTAAGGAGACAAGCATAGATATAATGATTTTTTAATACACGGATCAAAGATAAAGTAAGTCCTTAAAGTAAAAATTACTATTTACCATTGTCAGTGATTTCTTTTTTACTCTGAGACATATGATGGGAAAACCACACTGTCCTTTTAGCTACCATTTCTACTTCCCAATTCTTTTTTCCTCGTTCCCCTTTCCTATTCTTTAATGCTCCTGTATCTCCCTTCTTTGCATCCTTGCACTTTTTTTTTCTGCAGGAGCTTCCACTTTCTGTCCACCGTCTCTGCAATCTACTCTATCTCATGTGCTGATGAAGCAGTTAATAAAATCCTCATCATTTGGCTTAAGACAACATGCTAACAATTTCCGTTCACACTTCTTACAGCCATAGTGGCAGATTATTTGCAGGATAACAACACTGGATAATTTTTTATAACCCCTTCACTTCAGAGAGTTAGTTCCATTTAAAAATAAATATCACATGTGGCAGAAAGTGCAGGGTACACATTTACAGCAAAGATGTAATGTGAAGGCAAAGTGTTTGAAACAGCATGTCTCAAACAAGCAACCTAGTCAGTAAATGCTGACCATTGTTTGGGCTTCTAACATTAAAAAAAAAACTGCTTTAGCGAAGTAGATCATGGAAGAAGGGGTGAATACCTTAGACTTTGTTAATGGATAAAACCAAAATATGTAGGTACATTCTATACATACTGCACAGCCCACTGAAGATTCTACTTATACATAGATTTGATGTTCATATTTAACAACAATATCTACAACGAATCCTAATTCTTATGCAAAATCATTCACATTTACAGAAATGCAGCTTTCTGCTGACTTACTGTGCTGAAAAGAACAATGGGGACAGGCTTTATTGACAGGTGCTGCAATTACAGTTTCATAATACAGAACATTTGTTCATCAAGTAATGTGTTTCCCTCCAGACATCTTCATTAAAAAAGAAGCAGAAGTTCAAGTGATTTGTAATGCGGAATGAATACTCTCTAAGTACTTTCGTTCCCTATAGGTATGAAATAATGCTCTTTTAAAGTTTTCGCTATTAAAAAAAATCCAAAAACCGATTGGTCAATTGTTCTTTGCTTTTTAAAATCACTTTACTTAGGACACATTCTTCATAGAACAAAATTATATTATAAATATTTGAATAAATTTAATATTATAGAAAATAAGTCACTTTTGTATGAACAGATACCAGTCTGGTTTGCTCTTAGGTTAATTATTTCTCAGAAACCTTATTGCTACTGAATCTGCTCTTTCTTTCCAATTCTAGCTTCTGGTATGAGTCTAGTATGATGCTAGTGAAAATCCAGATTAACACCACTGAAAACAAGTTACACTGTACATCTGTCCTCAATTTATTACTCAACACAAAGTTGATTAGGCAAATGACCCACATTTTCAGGCACTGCACAGTGTGCTTTATTTATTATCCGATAGCTTAGGCTTAGCAGACATCCCTGGTCTATATTCACAGGAAGTATTGACATATTCTTCTCATACTCCTAGGACACAATACAGGCAGGCAGAACACAGCCACAGCCATGATCAGGGGCTTTCTGCTAATGATACAGGAGGTTTACAGTACTTGGAACAAGAAGACCAGAACCAAATAAATGAAGACTGTATCGGATCAAGCCACAGGCAAAGGAGTTTGGTAGGCAATTGTGGCACTGTTTTGCTAGCTGTAGGTGAACTGCAGTAGAGGTAGGGAAGAACAGAGTAGGAAAAAGAAAGAGGGACATGGATTCATGCTGCAAAGAATTTTAGCATGAGATATGAAGAGGATGAGAATCTGCCTGGAGTTCATCAGGGAGCATCCTTCCTGCAGCCATGAACAGTGTAACAGATACCATGGAAATAATGAGGAGAAGCTAGGACAAGAGGGCAAACTCAGCATGTGTTAAGACACCACAGGCAGTGTTAATAGTTAGTGCCTTTGAAGACAAAACCAAGAATCTTGCCGTTGATAATGAAGAAACGGAGGAACAGCTTGAAGGGAATAAGAAGACGATATAGGGTCAGAGCAGCAAATTAGCAGACAGAAGGGCAAAATTATAGAAGTCAAAGCCAGAAAAAGACTTTTCAGTAGTCTGGATTTTTGTCCATGAAGAATTTGGAAGAAAAGTGAATTTGTATGGACAGAGAGCTACAAAAACATTTTTTTCCTTCTATGACAGGAGAAACAATGGAGGTTTTAAAAGTGAGCATACAAGGGTCTGAAGTGACAAGAGCCAAAATGGACACCTTTGTTATAGACCTGAATGGCTGGGGAATGATGGTGATGTGAAGAGATGTAAAGAGATACCTTTACAGTGAGTAGAAAAGGCCCTGGGAAGACCAATATTTTGGGGAGATGAAGAGCACAATCTGCCTCAGTGGAAGATTCAGGCCATACTGAATTTAAGCTGATGTCTGAGCATTTGTGATGAGGTAGGAGGAAGAGAGGTCAATATTCTAAGCTAAATGATGGGACTTGTGTACTACCGCTGAACACAAGTTTATTGCACATAGGTATGGAACTATACTCATGACTGTGGACAAAAGGCTTTAAAGAACATGCCAGTGTGGCCAAGAATAAAGCCTTTAGAAGCAAATATCATACCACTCAGCAATTGTGACAGAGCTTGTGGATAACATCACAATAACTACGGGCAATAACCGTACATACAACATTTGCTTCTATGAAATCCTCAGCACTACAATTTGTTCTCAGTGTGAAAGGGGAGAATGTTTATTAAAGACACTATTTCCTGATGACACAAACTCTTTGGGTCAGGGGAGAAATAAGATTTTTTTAAAGGCCAATAGAATCAATAAAGAACCCAGACATCCACGGATGCTATGTTTAATTTTGAAGATGCAAGTCATCAGAATATTGTTCCTTAATTCAATGAGAATATTTTGTTTCAAAAAGCAAAGTGATACAAAAACATTTATAGACGTTTACAAGAGGTGTAGAGTCTCCTGAAATGTATTTTTAAGCAATATCATGTTGGAGTCCAAATTATATGTACTAAGTATATACTCCATATAGCACAAAAAAATAGTACGTTTTAGCAAAGAAATTTGATCAGTCACTATTCTCTGTGAATTTCTCCCTTCTCATGTTCACACTGTCAGGTGTGAACATTTTTTGTTTTAACAGTACTTTGAACCTTGTTATTTTTTTTTTCATTTTGTTCTCAATGTCAAGTTGTTATGATGTAGCATTTCAAAAGAGAATGACCAACTTGCAGTATAGTCAGTTTAATTGAAACCAAGAGTTCTTGTACTAAATTTAAGTTACTAAACTTACTTCCTTGTTATCCTTTCAATTCTCAAGTGGCTTTATAGAAATCATTTCTGCATGAAAAAATCTACGCAAATGTTAACATAACAGACAAAAGAGATACAGACTCCTCAACACATTCTCAGATGCACAACTCAAAACAGAGAGAATCCAGGCGTCTCAGCTTTGTATTTTCTGCATCTCTCTTACTTCTCCAACCTGAAATATCTTTGAACTTGATAGTTAACTTCACCCAAATTTCGCATTTGGTAGAGAGATCTGAAAGGTATGGGTGTAAGTCAGGAGAAGGACCGTACAGCATCCTCACTGAGGAGTGGCTGGAGGAGCTCAGCCCTACCCCACTCTGCTTGGGCTTGGCAGCAGCAGCAGCACAGTGTAAGCTGGACAGCTGGAAGAGGTTTTCTTCCTGGACAAGCAGCACATACACCAGGACAGTCACCATGTGAAGTCCTTCCTGCCCAGCCGATGAGCCCAAGCAGAAGGGGATATAAATCTGGCAAGAGATCAAAACATCACGCCTAGGGGGCATGGAAGGGAACTAGCAAGCCTGCTGCATGTGGAGAGCTAAGAGAGGATGTGGAGGAGGGTGGGGGTATGGAAACATAGTGCTGCAGGGATATGTGCAGGAACTGCAGTTGCTGGACTAGTCTGGAGGAAAATGTAGGAAGACAACATGGAAAGTCAGTCAAAGACTAACCTAATCTTTATGAAATTAGGTTTCTTTCATAATTTATCTCAAAAGCACAGTGTGATTGCTCAAGCTGCATGCAAATTTTTGTAACCTGTATTTATACATTCTTGACGTTTAAATTGTACTAAAGGAAAAGTTAAAGCATTTGTTCTGAGGATACACTATTGACAAAAAGTTATAGCTAACCCTGTATGAGAATTTCGCCAGTCCTCACAGGAGTTCTGTTGTTCTGTCATGCTTTCAACAGGTTTAAATCAAAGCTTAATACTCTTTCAAGAGATGAAATATTACCTTGAATAAACATGCCAATACTTCAGAATTCTGCCTAAAGGGACTAGTGTGAGGCACTAAGCATTTGGGTGGGACTACAGAGCGCCCCCAGAGATTTACACTATGTGCCAATGTATGTAACAATGCCCAAAGAAAACATGTTAAGAACACTGCACTGGCAGCAAATGTGAGTGACTCCAAATTAAGCATTTGACAATATTAATGCTGGTCTGACAACCATTTTTCCATAATGAAGCCCTAATTTTCAGTTGAAGTTAAGATGTAGATGAAGGTACGCTTGTTAAGTGTTCTGTATATACTATTCCTCAAAAACTTTGGTGTTAGATCCTGCGCTACTGCAAGTTAGCATAATCACTGACTTCAGTAGAGTTAAGTACCCACTGACTTCACACAAGGAGATGCACTTTTTCAGGTTAATGCAGTGTTCAATTAAGTAACAGTTAAAATGTACTTGAATGAATTCAGTTCTTATATGAAGCTGAGTCCTACAGACTTAAACTTCTAGGTACAGCAAGTAGAGAGAGAAACACATAATGAGTGTAACCCACTCACACCTAAAGACTATAAGAACAGTTCAATCATTTTTGCTTTGACTGCTACAACGATGTCTAATACACTATTTTTATATATGGCACAAGTTTCCCATATACCTAAGGTAAAGATTTCTGCTTCATTTCAGCTGTGTTTGCTGCCAGTCTACTCCATGCAAATCAGTAACACAAGGACAATAATCTTTCATCTGCATAGAAAGCAGTCTGATCCCAGACAACGTTTGAGGAAATCAAGAATTTTGACAATTTTTATGGAAGTTTGGAGGGAGGAAAACACATATGTACATACACTCCAGCTTGGTCAAGAAGGTGATCTCTTCAATGAACTCTGAAACTATTCTCCAATCTTTGCAATAAGGTTTTGATCAAATGACAGATGTTGATGGATTTTTTTTTTTTAAATATTCCCCTGGTTCTGATATAGATTTGCTAGCTTTGCTTAAGTGCCATTAGCCACTGATTATTGTTTAACATAAAGTATAATTTAAAATAAAAGCTACTTACCAATTTTGCAATGTCATTCACATCATCTGTCACTGGATTCCCGCAGGAATTCTGGGCTTTGACAAGAGGATTAAGTAGGAGTAGTTGAAGACAAAAGCAAGTGATAATCCAAGTCTATTTAGTTAAAAAAAAAAAAAAAAGAAACAAGAAGACCCAAGTAAGCAATCTCCAAATGTGAAGTAACAAGACTGTAGTAATGTTTTTCATATACAAAGTCTAGATGCAACATACTCTTCATTTTTCATGAGGACATACTCATACCACTATAATATAATCTTCATGGCAGGGATCCACAGAAATGCACTTAATTGATCTTTTCTGGAAGCAAGCACCTTTAGAGTAATAATAGAAAATCTGGTATTGAGCCATCACATTACTTGTGCAGGATCCTGCTTAGGTGAGTTTCTGCAAAGTTTACAGATACCAAAGAAGAGAAAGAGACAAACTTCGCAATATTCTTCATCATCAGTACAAAGCTAGCTAAATACTTGTCATTCACCTGGTAAGGTACTTGATAAACCTGTGCTCCTAATGTGATAATGGATGATAAGGAATAAAATGATACCAGATCACAACAAGATAAAAGGAGAAAGTTCATAATCACAGTCATTATATTTGGGTACTTAAATTTCAAGCTAAACCACAACTGGACTCTGCCCAAATACTGAGATCTCAAGCAGCAATACAATACATTTTCTCTAAGTGACGTGCCCTGGCCTCTCAGGAGTAGCAGCTTGGCTTTGGCACTACATTCCCCTCCTAAATGCCGTTAGGAACAGCAATGCAATGTACTCACGGGGCCTTGTGAGACTCAGCCAGAAAAGCACCAGATAACTAGCTGCGATGCACCTGGGTGTCTCCTTGGCTACACTGCCTGAACTTCCTCGCCTTCTGTTGTTCCTTGTGCTTCGCTGGTTTCCCACAGAGCCCCGTGCCAAGTTTAAGCTGCAGATCTTTATTTCCAGAATGTTAAAGCATTTAAGTTATGGATAATCAAAAGTTGCCTCGGGTTGTGAAGCTTCTTGTGCCAGCTGACTGAAGCTGTCAGCAAGAGCCCATGATGGTGTACATTTACTGCAAGTATGGAATTTGCCTGTGCAGGCTCCTGAGCCTCCATGAGGGCAGGACGGAGACCAGAATTTGCTTTTGCACGAGCTAAGATGCATCTCAGGCCCGTCTGTTCCCTGTGATGGGTAGAGAACTCCCGTCTCCAGCCTTACCTTCAAATGCTATCCAACCTTTCCAATTTAAGACCAAAGCAAATCAAACAACATAGATGAAGCTCTCTAGGAAAGCAGAGAGAGCAAGTCACAGATTTGAGAGATTAAGTATCATTATAGTAACTTAGAGAGGCTAAGAAAGCACGATGATAAAGATTGCTCGCAAACATGTTGGAACAGTGCCAGGCAATATCCCTAGAGCTGTTAAATGACAAGTAAATCTCTCTTGTAGCTTATATCTCTTAAATCTTATATGTCTCTCACATCTCAAGAAAAACTGGTCATTTGTTTTCTTAGAATATGGCTTCCTGACTCATTTAGGTAAAACCAGTGTGAGCTGCTGCTGGAAAAAATAATCTAGCCTCCTCACCCTGCCTCTTGCACTGGTACTGAGGAGATGGTTTAGGCAGCTGTACGAGGCAGAAAATTGCGGGTTTTGTTTTCCTGTGCTATTTTTCAGGCAGACCAGCTTTCTGATCCAGGTAACTGAGACAGCAGAAATGTTCCACTACAGATGGAACAAGCCAGGACTGCCCATTTCAGTGGAGCCTGCTCTTGGCTTTCCCTAAACCGTATCTTCAGACACTGCAGGATCAAGACAGTGGGTAGACTTACACACAAAGAAATCTAAACTATTCTGAGCAAAGCACACGTAAAATATGCATGTCTTTTGAGAATGCCTCTTGCTTCAACATAACTAGCATTTAGAAATAGTTTTACTTTAATATTTGTACAAATAATTATTGAGAATAATTACCCATGTGAAGAACTGAGAATAAGTACCTAACTCGAAGTTAGGTACTTAACAGTCTCACAAAACCTTACGCTACACAAAGCTTTGCAGTTCTACACATATGAACAAGTCAAGCCCTCAGGAGATGCAGTGAAGCTGTTGGGCTCAAAGCCGCACTCGAGACACAAGAGACAACAACCCTGTGTCTATTCCCATTTCCAATGAAAGGGTAGTGAGACCTGGAACGTGGGAACCTGGTTCTGCTGACATTTCTCCTGAGTAATTTGGCCGGCCTTGGTGCGTTTGTACCTCTGCTTCTGTCTTTTGCATATAGCAGTGACAGTGATGCTGCTAGTCTCTGAAAGGACCTTTGAGAGCTCCTTGCAGTGTATAAGAGCTCAAAGCTGTTTAAGAGCTAGCTTTATGTGGTCAGAGAAACATTTCCCCCTCCTCACATAAGCTCCAGAATCACAGAGGAAACCAACGGGGACCTCAAGTTAACAGCCTCCTTCCCCACTATGATTTTTGGAACAAAATTGTATAAAAAAGGCAAGAAACTAATGACAACCAGCTCCAAAATGGACTAACTATACTGCTTTCAAGAATTAAAACCAAGTAGCTCTACCTTCAGAGTTAAACAGTACCCTAGCAGCTACATTCACTGAGGCTCAGGGACGTTTCCCTGATGTGTTTTTTGGAGATGCAGTCCACACCAGAAATCACCAATTTCTTTACTAGGTTCCTCAATAGTATGTAAAGGAAGATGGGATTTGTTCACTGACTTGTGTCACTGTCATAGGACAATGTTTAACCTAAGAGTCTAATAACCAAAAAAGTAATAAAACTCTTTAAATGGAAGTAGTTTTTTGCCAGATCAGCTGAGTAGTATTAATAAAAGCAGCAGCATACTCCAAATAAAACCAGGACCCTGATTCCTGTTGTCAATTTTCTGGATTCAATTTTCTAGTTTCAAAATTCTGGACCTAAAGACAACCCATACATGAACCTTAAAACCACTGCACATTTTACAATTATGCAGATCAAAAAGAATACACTTTCTTCCCTGTAAAAATAATGGGATTTTAAAGCATAGTAATTTTTAATGGCTATTAAAAATAAATGCTTTGTAAATTTTGAGGTGATTTGAGGTTTTTCTTGCTTATTTGTTCCCTGTGCCATCCAACAAGAACTGAAAATCTGTAAAATACTGCTAGTTTCAACAAGCCTATTATCCAAAATCTTTTAATTATTTGCACTTACAAAATATTTATATTACACTTGCCTACAGGCACATCATATGTAAGGACTGTACAGATCAAAGAGCTAAGCTATTTTTGTGTTATTTACTAATGACCAAACCTGCTGTTTGAGCAAAACTTGAATAGACCAAATTAAGTCAAGGACAGAACAAAAGGGAAGCTTAAACAGCTTTATAAATAGAGATTCCAGTTTTACACTTTACTAAGCATAAATGAAAGTTACCCACACAGTACTCATAACAGATTTCCATATATAATTACTTCCAAGCTAAAATGGGATTTTCAAAACTGGCCACAGGATTTAATCACACATCATCTACCAGCACCAAATTGAAGATATATGGCAGACAGGAGGCAGACCTGTATGCCAAAGGGCGTCTTTCTATTTTTGGCTCCAAAATTATTAAATTGTTTTTATATTCTGAAATCTCTTAAATACTGAATATTTAAGTTGCTTTTGTGAAAGGGAAAAAATAATGATTAGACTGGAAAGGAAAATTCAAATTAAAGATTTCAAGTATACACTTTTGACCATTCTGCAAATTATTTTTGTTACTGCTTATAAGCCACAATTTATAATTTCATTTAACAGCATTTTAGAGGCTTAGCTAGTGATCCAATGTGTTGAAGGCCATCCTTTCAGTTGTAAATCAACAACTTTTTCATTTATGTTCTTAGTTTATGATCTGGAGTGTTGACAAATGCTGCTGAATGAGTGCTTTAGCATCTTTTTCACAGTATGCTATCAAAGATAGTTAATCTTGCTCGTTAATGTTCAGCTAATTCCTTAAGTGGAAAGCAGCAAGGGGAATACCACATTCCTAAATAACCCAAACATTGGAAAGTCTGGACATTTCCAAACATCTAGTTTATACTGATAACAATTCTAATCATCAGTAAGGAGAAATCATCCAAAAAAATAAAAAAGGCAAATAATAAAATGCAAAAAAAACCCCAAACATTAAGCACAGGGAGAGGTAGTAACTACACAAATTAATGGCTTCTTCATTATAAAATCTCTTGCATTCAAGTCATGTTAGCCATGGAATTTTTCAGCCTGGTTTCTTGAGCAAATCATCCAGTTAACCACAACCAAGCCGCAGCTGCAGTAGGGTTAGCCAACAATGTGGAACGATATTCACCCTGGGCCAGGCTTCCCAAATTTATTTTTCATTTCTGCTAATGCTGGGGTAGAAACATCTCTCAATATTGGCTCCTCAGGCAGTGTTTGCATGCTGATTTGCAGAGACACAGCTTGTGAACTTCTGCCATAAACAACATTGGTTGGTCAGTCACGAGTAGCTAATTTAATGTTCATACTTACGCCTTAAAAAGCCTTTTGTGAGAAGATTCAGAGAAAATGAAAATACCAAGAAAAGATCTTTCTTGCCTTTGTTGTGTGTGTTTTGGGTTTTTTTTTTGTTTTTGGGTTTGTTTTTTTTTTTTAACCACAAAGCATCCTGAAGCATAAAAGCACAGTAATTATTTCATATGTCTACTAATCTATTTAGTTATTTAGCTGTGAACCAAGCCGCAGCTGCAGTAGGGTTAGCCAACAATGTGGAACGATATTCACCCTGGGCCAGGCTTCCCAAATTTATTTTTCATTTCTGCTAATGCTGGGGTAGAAACATCTCTCAATATTGGCTCCTCAGGCAGTGTTTGCATGCTGATTTGCAGAGACACAGCTTGTGAACTTCTGCCATAAACAACATTGGTTGGTCAGTCACGAGTAGCTAATTTAATGTTCATACTTACGCCTTAAAAAGCCTTTTGTGAGAAGATTCAGAGAAAATGAAAATACCAAGAAAAGATCTTTCTTGCCTTTGTTGTGTGTGTTTTGTTTTTTTTTTTTTGTTTTTGGTTTTTGTTTTTTTTTTTTTTTAACCACAAAGCATCCTGAAGCATAAAAGCACAGTAATTATTTCATATGTCTACTAATCTATTTAGTTATTTAGCTGTGCTAGAGATAAAGTCATGGAAGAATTGTCTCTAACCAATTAAGGAATTTACTGTTAGTGCGGAAAAATTTTAAAGTGAAACAAGAGCGTTTACACAGAATGTAATCCGTTTTCATGGTATTCAGCGATACCTTCACCCATGCAAATGACAGCACTAACTCTAGTACTCTAAATGGCTGTGCCTACATATTAAGTGTTAAATATTGCTCAAGCCCTAAAAGAGCGAGTTAGGTGTGGGGGGAAAAAAAAGTGATCCCCCCATGACCACCTAGTTCTGGAAGGTGTGAAGTATTTTCCAAGCATATTTGGAACTGGAAAGGTCCCACATGCTCTCAGGTACTCTGGAGATAACTTCAGTGTAGTTGGAGGAAACACTTGGGTGATCCCTGAATAACACATAGTTGAAGCATTAAGTCCAGTGTACACCCATCATTGTCCTTCAAAAGACTGGCACTAATCTAACAGAATATAATAGCCTATCAACTAGGGCGCTCACTAATGAGTTACAGACCTGGGTTAAAATACCTCTAACAAAGGTAATTCCAGCTCACAGATATCTACATTCCTCTGATATCTACCTCATAATTACCACCGGAGGCACCTTCCCACCTATGTTGGCTTCCTAGCTAGAAGGGGCAAAAGGGGGATACACTGGTATTCCTGACCCTTATTTTTCAGAACATTCATGCATTTTACACTGGCAAGCCATTGTAGAAAAAAAGAGACATGTTCACTGCACAGGCATCAGAACGTTTATGTGTATCCTCGTCTCGCACATGCTCCTCCATCTGGGCACCCTAACTTCTGGGAAGCTCCCCAGTCAACATGCGAGTTTTCTTGAACAACCTTTTGGCAGTTCATTGAACAAAACAGAGGCTAACTCCAGCTCAGTGAGTCACCCTGCCAGGGTGAGACACCTAAAAATCTCTGGATCACACCCTACATGCTTTGTTATGATTACAAAAAGCAGATGCATACTTTTCTAGTGACTGATACTATTAATTTTTTTTTAACAATCATGTTGAGTAGGGAGAATAATGATAAAAGTAAACAAAATTCATCAAGAAGTATCAGAGTGATTTATTTGGATTCCGATTTAAACACAGACTACAGAAATGCTGGTCACTTTTTCAGAGTAAGTTCTGGAGTGCTTTAGACATGAAACATTTGAACACGTATTCAGTTATTTACAAAATGGGGAATACTCCTCTACCCAGTTCTGCAGATAATATCTAAAAGACGTAATGCAAGGGTACTTTATGGGGTAAAGGAGAAGGAAATTAATGAATTATTGTTACAAACATAAGCAGGAAAGGTGCCATTGCCCCCCACATTCAAATGAGTTCAATGGGCAACCTGCTTTCGCAGCTGTTTAATCTTTTTGTGACATTAGGTATTTGCCTTTCCATGATGTTCCCAACTGTAAAACCTCTTCTCCTAACCTTTGCACACTCACTTGTTTTCCCATGAGTGACTTCTGGAATGCCCAATGGCAGCTGACAAGAGCAGGATTTTTCAGCTAGATGTCCATTTGGTGGCAGAATGATAAAGTGGCACTTGATGGACTCCACCAGCCACATGTGAAAAGGAAAAGCCAACTGCTATATCCAGATGCTTACAGACCTTGTTCCCTTCTAAGGTACACTGTTAATGAATCAAAAATAACTCTATTCAGGTCAAAGGATAAAAATAGTTCAAAATCTGTTAAACGCTAATGCAGAACTACTTTTTCTTCACTACTTTTTCTTCAGCTGGAAGGAGAAACCATCCTCTAGTTCTGCCAAGTTATGCACGTCTCTTTCCTGAGATAGACAAATTTAAGATACGTGGTCTTACTGTGCTGAGAAAATGATGAATCACACTATTCTTTCCCACCATCCAGATCTTGGGAAAACTAGGAAGCTGCCTAGACTATACACCAACTTAATTTCATGCAACCTCAGGCCAATTGCTATCAGCCTCTACTCCTTCCAGCTCTCCTTGACAGCCGCAGAAGCAGCAGGCTGCTCCAGCCAACGCGCTACTGCTGCACTTCGTAAGGTGCAACCAAACTCCTGCTGTGTTTGGTCTGTGTGTTTCAGCTGGAACCAACAAGAACTGATAAGCAAAA